GATGAAATATGCTAATTTTTTGAGATAGGGATTTTTGATTTTTCTTTACTTTTTTGCCCAAGTCATCAATTTTAAAACAATAAAAGTCTTGAACTACTTCAGTTGGTGTGTAATGAATCTAAAATGTATGAAAGTTTAATGTTTATCTGTACATTACAGAAAATAATGAACTTTATGCTAACAGTATGCTAACTTTTTGAGAAGGACCTGTACAAATAAAGAAAAGTGCTCTGGATTTGAAAAGTGAAGATGGCTGTCTCAGCTAATTCCATATGGCTTTAGTTCAGTTGTTTTAAGAAATATTGATTTGAAATTTTGTGTTCGATCATAATGATCCACAAAACATGCCGAATGCCAGTCACAACTTAGTATCCAGCGATTGTTAGACATACAAAACGTAGCCAAAAACCATCTTTACCTAATAGTAAAAATGGTAATTAAATATCCAAAATGGCCACCACAGCTAACTTAAAACAGCCATTTAAAAACTTATTAAGATTAAATTAGTTGTGGAGGAGCTAAGAATGATGGCATGCTGATTGCTCATGCTAAACCCAAATTAAGCTAACTTGCTATAGCTATAATTCAGCCATATTTGAACACACACAGCTGAAAATTTATAACGTGCAGTAGTATCAGAGAACAATCTTTAACAAAATCTAAATGAAATACAAAATCAAAAATCCCCACCCACTTGTTGATTAAGTGGGGGTGGCACCTGAAGTGGCCAATCAGGTACTTGGGCTGCAGGGCTGGCCACGCCTGTACCTCCACCACTGGTGGTGCTCAGCTACTACCACACCAAATTTTTTGCTCAATAGTTTTCTGAGTCTGAGCCATTTTAGTGTTTGCAAAGATTGATTAGCTGATGCAGTCACAACAAATCAAGCTGACTCAATGAAATATCTTTACTGTTTCACCTTAAATATTTTGCACACTTTGGATCACACAAGCAGAAAGCCTCCCCTCTTATCAAAGGCAAACTTCCTGAAATGGGCAGAATGTAGACA